AGGAAATCCTTGCAGAGGAGAAACCCCCTTGTGAAAAGAGCTCTTTCACATCTGGCCTGTTGCACTGGACAGCTGCCTGCTCTGCTGTGCTCAGTATCACTGTGAATAACCATTTCCCTGCTCCATCAAACCTCCTCAGCTGCAGGGTAGCTGTGTTTTTATTGACTCATCTACCTCACCTGTCCATCTTTTTTGCGAGCAAATGAGTCGCAGCTTCAAACAGGTAGAGACCTGGATGAGCTTCCCGCGTCTGCCTGGAACACCCAGACAATTTTGTTTAATTGTCGTTGGCCAGAGCAGCCGCAGAGGTAACAGGAACCTGAAAATTGAACTGTGAGAGGATTATCGTGCTGCAGGGCTGCCAGATGGTGTCTGGAATTACCTGTAGAAAATTACAGATAACCATCCTCCTTTAAGTCCCATGAGAGCTGTGAGCAAGATGACAATAATGTAACAACAGAAGAAGTGAGGCTGTTTTGAACATGTGGTAGCTGCGTTAGCTCTGCTAGCTTTGAGCAGTGGTTTTGTTCGGAGGGAAGGGCGGTCAACCGGCTTCGGTTTCATTGCATTCATAGAACAATGACTTCCACTTGAAGCCGCTCAGTGGTTTGGCTGCCTCTGACACTTCTGAGAACAATGGCTGTTTTCATAAACAAATCAATTACAGCCACATAAACAGTGGGGATTGTGTTTTCATAAATTACAGTGCATGATTCATAAAAATTGCAGGCCTGTTTGAGGAACTCCAGAGATTGATTTCTTGATGAAAGCGTTGCTTTGCGTCCAGATGACGCTGCTCAGTGACAGGCGCCACTGTAGCTGCTGTTGCTGCAGAGTGGTAGTCAGTATCTCATCCTCGCAACCGCCACCATTTATCAGCTCGTAGCTCAGCTCAGTCGCCACCCCTTCCTTACCGCAGCAGATTGCATGCAACTTGCAAAGTCCACGTGTTTTCAGGGCGGGAGGAAGGAAGAAGTTTCAGTCATCAGTCAGAGGACAAGGGAACTCTTTCAGCATGGGTAGAGCATGTGTTTATATTTACTGTATGTTATGAGCGCTTGGGCACACGCCACCCCGCTGTTTCACTCTGGGCACCAAACTTTTACTCCACCCAGCCCCAATTAAGGAGCACAAGGAGCTGTTTGATTCCCTTTATAAACCTAACATGACAAATAACTGTATTGTATATTGTTTGATCCCCCTCGGCTGCCATGACTCTGTACAGCACACCGCCGCTGTGCCATTGACTGCTCTGTGTTATGTCTGTTCTGAGAAACTAATGATTTGTATAGACCATTGCTAACGAAATGTGAATTGTAAGACTTCTGCAAGGCTGGGACGCTGCCAAGGCAAATGGAGCTTGGGCGTTGTGAGAGTTGGAGAGGGGTACTGGGTTTATATGGTCGGGGTGGTTTTAGGGGAGAGGTTTTAGGCTGAGTTGTTTAACTTAGATAATATTGGATATTTTCCAGCACAGTGGGCCAGGGAGTTAGAAACCATATTGAGCTCGCTGAAATTTGGTAGGAGGGGAGCTGGAGAGTAAATGCTGCTGAAGTTTTTCATTGGATCAGTGCAGGCGCTGCGCAGATGTTGCCCTATAACTCTGGAACATTCTGTGGTTATCAATTATCCGGTACACTCTCTTCAAACAAAGGCATCCCACGCATTTAAAGCTCTTTTTTTTTTTTTTTTTTTGAGAAGTTTCCTGGCAGTAGGTAGCCGGGCACAGAAAAAAAGTGCTAAATTAGATTTTTCTATCTCTGTATTGATGTGAAAAATGATGTGAGTGTGAGTCAGAGAGAGAAAAGCAGACAGGGAGAAGCAGAGAGAGCGAGAGACGTAGAGGGAGATCTGAAAAACATGTTTACCTCCTGTGGATCTACATCGGCTGCAAAGGCTTCCCTTCTGGAGAGGTTCCCGAAGTGGAGAGAAGCAGCCAGAGAGAAAAGAGACGGACGAGCAGATTGAAGTCAAACAAACATTTTTTAGAGACAGAACTGCTTTCTTGGAGTAAGAAATAATTGGTTTAAAGTCAGTGATGTCAAAATTTCCTGCTCTGAACTCAGATGACTAGATGTTTGAGTCAGAATAGGATATGTTATTAACAAAACTCCCTCACAGACAAATGAAATATCACAGGGGTGATTTTTTTGCATGGGGGTGTCATTCTGGATGAAATTTCAAAATCTCAACTTTCAGCACGAAAATCCATTATTTGACCCTGTAATGCATTTTTATTCTATCCATGACCCATCACCATCCATGATAAATGCATGGTATAGCAACTATAACAAATTGCTAAATGACAGGTGGACATTTTTGTCCACTTGAAGGGTCATGGATGGGATAAAAATGCATTACAGGGTCAAATAATGGATTTTCATCCTGAAAGTTGGGATTTTCAAATTTAACCCCCCCCCCTTGCCAAAAATCACCGCCTGTGACCTTTTGTTGGACACTACAAAAGTTTCTAGAAAATGAACATTTTTGTCCACTTGAATGGTCATGGATGTAACTTTTTTGAAGGGTAACACTGGATATCCACTGGACACTGAATGTCATTTGACCCTTTCTGACAAAGATCCTGTACAACTTCCTGTATGACAAGCTGTTTCCCTTTTCATTTCTGTTTACACAAAGGCTTCCTTGCAACATGGTTTGCAAATGTTATATTTGAGTCATATTACCACACACAGGTGGGTTTTTTTTGCAGGCCAGATGTCTGCACCATGCCATGTACCAGACCTGATTGTTCCTATGGTGCCCAGGAAATTCAGTACTGTTGTTTTAGCTAGCTTTATATTTGTTATTTATAGCAAATATTTTTGAATTATTTTCTTAGTGTTAGGTTTAACCCTCTGAGACCCACTCTAGATCCATTTGTGTCTTTTAAGGGGATCTTTAGGGGGAGATAGTAGGTCAACAGTTAAGGCCACACAGAAGTGGTATACATCATCTGAAAGCTTAACAACTTAACAATTTATTTGACATGAAGTCATAAATAAGGGAGAAACATAATGTTTTGGTTTGGGCTTAGAACATTAAAATGGAAGTATATGATGACCATTCCCATGCTCAGTTGTGTCCCATAAGTCATTGCAGCAGTTTTGGGGTTGATACTAATTGTTACACAGATTTGGTACTAAATTTAAGCATTGTAAACTATTCAAGAATTGATAAAAATGCTCAAAACTTCCTCTAAAATACCACATTAAGACATCAAGACCTTGGGGAACACAGTAGAAAAGTCCACGACATGATTCTGTATCAAAAACCTTTGACATTTGGACATTTGCAAACATTGCATTTTTTGATGATTGGGTGCTGAACACTTATGCTCTAGAAACTGCTGAGAAACCCCTTATCATATACCTTATACCTGTGAAAGCCATACATGCTCTGAATGCCAGAGGTCAAGTTGTAAAGTTTCACGATGCTATGATTATCCTAGAGGTCACAACAGGTCATTCTATACAGTTAGGTGAAGTTTGAGAAAATGGTCTAGCTACAATGAAATGGCTACTGTGGGAGCTAACATCATCACACATTAATTGAATTGGGCTCATTGAATCCACAAGAGTCACAACTTTCCAGTCATACCAAATTTATGCAATTTCAAGAGTGTTTAGGGACCTTAGTATATAGAAATATTCAAATACAGAAGGCGAAATTAACACATCTGTACTGCATGCAAAAAACTTCATGGTTTACCCCAAAACTGCATGGGATTAGCATAAAGGAGTTCAAGGGACCCCTGTGCCAGGTTTTACCTCACCTCACCAAAAAATCTATTTAGCCAACCTTTGAGAGGCAGTGATCAGTCAAATTACTCCAACTACAAACAGAAACAAGAAATTCAGAGATCTGGCACCATACCTGGTTGATTTGTTTGTTTTTCCTTTGGGGTAGAGGGTTAATTCTCTTTAAGGTAGTACACAAGATATTATTCTTTCCTGGAGAGGAGCAGCCAAAACTCCACTCCACAGCTGACAGCGGTGTGGGAAAATAAAGGAAAGGGAAGCAGGTTTCCAGTGTCTCCTCAGACATAATGGAAGCTGTCAGGGCCAAGCTGCACCTCCTCCATCTCTGCCACCTCACAACTCCTCTCCACACAAACGAGCGCTGCCCAATCCATCTGCACCGTGCTGTCTGCTCAATTCAAACGCTCCACATATCAAACTGCTGACAGCCTGTTGAGCAACACTGCATATATCTTAGTTAATCTTCTCTTTAACAAAACTTGGCCACAGCTGACCCTTTTTCTTTAAACTGCAGTTAAAGTCATTTTCACAGTCCTTTTTAGGGCCTTGTTAATGAGTCAGGAGGCTAAAGAAATTACAATGGTTTCCTTCTGTGACTAATAAATTGGTAAAAATATACTTTTACTGACACCTCACTGGGCAGAATGACAAATCAAACTTCTTTTTTACCAGGCCTGTGTTTTCCGACAGCTCACATGATGCCTCTTTTTTTAATTGCCTGATGGGAAACCTCTTTATTGTGGCCACTTTAAGGAGAAAATAACGCATTACCAAAAAAAGAGCAAATACCATTTAACAGTCATTATATGGGGATAGCAGAAAGATTCCTATGAGAACACGAGAAATAAGGAGTTTGAAAGTTGAGGCGAGTTGTCAGTTTCCAGTCGTTGTGCATTAACGAGCCCACCAGCTGCTGGAGCATGTTGGGATTCCACACAGCGATGAAGTCAAGGTTTCTCCGATCCACCAAAGATGTCGCTCATCTCTTTGGTATGACTGGGTTTTTTTTTAGGATTGCATCAGAATTTCTCTCTGTCTGTGTCTCTCAGGTTTGTTAGACCGAGGATATGAGCTCATGAGCGGCGGGTCAGACAGCATGACGTGTGGCTGTTTTATATATCACTGATGTAACAGATTAAAATAACAACGCTCATACCATTTCTTCATTTCTGTTGGGAGCCAAGTAGGTGGATTATTTTCCAATTTGTCATTACGAATCTCTTTTTCTTTCTCTTTCAGACGGTCACCACCTCTGGGAGACGGAGGCCAAGGTCGACAGAGACGCCTCTAAGCCTGTAAGTGATACATGTGACGCTGTTATCGTGACAAATCCAGTCTCATTTCAGGATTAAAGCACTGAGGATAAAACAGCTGCTCTCCATCATTTCAGTGGCAAAGAATTTTCAGACTTTACATAAAAAAACAACTAGCTGATGTCTAAATCAAGTGAGCTGAGAGTGAATTAACTGAGTCCTACTCCCTTTAGTTACTGCTGCTGGGCCGCACAATCTAGACAGAAAGGTGCATGGTGACACCAGTTCCGTTAAGCCAGGTGCTGCGGTGTGATAGATAGTTTCTTGGCATTAAGTAATACAGCTTCAAGGAGCTGAAAGCAAGGAGTATAATATCCAGTGGCAACCCATTTTCATTCCCGGGGTGTGAGATACGGAAGCCAGGTCAGTGGCTCTTGGCTTCTGTTCTGTTCTCGTGTTATCAGATCAAATGGATCAAATTGCGGTAGCACGTGGGTTGCGATGCACAAAAAAATGTAACCACAAATTCACAGATGTCTCTTTCACATTGTAAGTGTACGTGAAAAATTCTGATTTTGCCCAATGGCATCATGTGACGGTCCAGGACGGTGTAGTTTCACTTTTGGCCACTATGTAAAAATGGCTTCAAAGCTCAGCGCTGTTCCCGGGGGCCAAGCTTGCACAACTGAGTGGAAAGGGGAGGGACTTATGAAGGGCTAATTGAGCTCCACATCACCTGGTGATTTCGGAATCATGGATCTAGATTTACAGAATATCTGCCCACCTCATTCAGCCATTTACTTTTAGGGGTCAATCGATTCAAATGCACACAAAAAAAGGAATATCTAATTACCTCAAATGGTAACTAACCATGCAGATATTGTTACCTCTGTACAGAGCCAGGCTAGCTGTCTCTGCAGTCTTTGTGCTAAGCTATAGGCTAACAGTCTGCTGACTATAGCTTTATATCTTCTCATCTACATCTCAGCAAGAAAGCAAATGAGAGCATTTCTCCAGAATGTCAAACTATACCTTTAAACCATGCATTGCTAACACAGCATTATTATGAACATGGGATAAATATGGTAGCCGACAAAAGTAAATGGCAGATGGCCCAAACCAGCTCTTTTTGGTGGTTTGTGTGTTTGGCCTGGCTTTCTGCAGCCAATTTTTCATTTGCAGGATGTTTTTGTTGTTGTATTTTTTTTGGATTTTTCTAAATTTTTTGGAATTATTATTATGGCATAATTTCTGGAGCTATAGCATGTTTCTCCTAAAAGTAATGTTTTGGGCCATTGTAGTACGTTTGCAGTGGTGTAGTGGTGGTTGATGAGCTGTGCACTACCAGGTGGGTGGGTAGGTTATCGAGGAGTAAGTGAGTATACCTTCCTACAGATTCTAATGGCTTTTTGCCTGATAGGTGTATACTGTGAACAGCCACATAAAGAGGTGGATATATCACGTATACCTGCGTATATCTTCCACTACACCACTGTGCATTTGCCCTTGTCAGCCACTGTAGTTATACACACACTGGTGAACATAAGCACATTAATGACACAGATACACAGAAGTGTAACTTGGATATGGCTGAAGATTTTCTCAGCCCGGAGCAGAATCTCTCAAGAGGAGAACAGCTATGTTGTGTTTGAAACGTGTGGAAAAGGTTTTCAAAAGTTCAACCTTCATCCAGTGGGAGTTTGTGCTCGGCAGTGTGTCCTGTCTTGGCCTGGGACAGATAGAGAGACAGAGAGATGTGTAGTGGTGGGAGTCTGGGAGATAGACGAGGGGATTAGAGGGTGTCTAGATGTGAGGCGGTGCACCTGCTCTCAGTGTCTTCCCATTGCAAAACATACACACTTTCTCTCTCACACACAAGTATACAGTGACTGCTGGGACACATCTGTCTGCTTGAATAGACAAAGGGCCTCCCTCCCCTCTCAGCCCAGTCTCCTGGATTGGACCCATTTTAAACACTGACGGTGCCTTGGCCAGGTTTAACCTCTGCTGCTCTACCACAACACAGACCAAACCACAAATTCAGAATACCTCACTGCCTCCGTCACCTGCGCAGACTGACCTCCCCCGAGAGGGAGGCAGACGTAGAAGAAGAGGGATGATTCACTTTTAATTTTAAGAATTATTTTCAATTAGATGCAGCAGATTACTCATATAAACTTAGACAAATGGCCTTGCAGCACTCACTTAAGGAGTCCAAGAAAGCTCCTTCATGCTCGATTTGTCATATTTTATCTTCCTCCCTCTGCATGAGAGAAATTACTTTTGTCAGGTAAAAACATCTCAGTGTGTTTTGGTGATTTTCACGCTTTTTACACAAATTGGAGGTCCACTGTGTCCTCAGTGGGTTGAGATGATTTTACAAAACATCACGTGTGAACATAAAACTTTCAGGAGTGAGTGAATGATTTCACTCGTGCATGTTTTGGATGCATAATTAAGCCTGTTTTTTATGCGTATGAGTAAGTTGACATGTTGGACAGCAGCAACACGAGTGAAACGCTTCAAATATTCCTGTTAAACCTGGACACAATTACTGTTTACGCAGTGCAAACGGTGAACCGTTTCCAGAGTTTTTATCAGCTAATTCTCCGAAGGACAGATGGATTGTGTTGAATAAGAATAAGTCGAAAAGCCTCATCTGGCTTCACTTGACTTTACGACTGCAGTGATTTAATAGAACGTGTGTCAGCTCTCACCTGTAACGTCAGGGCCAGCCGTCCTCCGAAGCACAGTTTTGTAGACAGATGACTTCCTCCCTTGCTACTGAGCAGCACCTCCAACACACTCAGATATATGTATCCACACACGCATGCACAGAAACACACACAGATGGGGCTGATGAGCGTGGTCGCTCCTGGCCTTCACTCTCTCCTCAGACAGCAGGAAGCTCTGCTGGGGAAATAAACTATCCCGAGTTCAATTTATTCACTATGCAAACAACCATGGCTCTCTATAACCTTACTTCATGGTCTCTTTGTGGCTCCCTCGTTTGGGATTACAACCAGATTTTATCCACCGCCCTCACACACACAACTTCAGGCTATGGATTTAAAGGAATCCAGGACTCACATCCTCTTTGCTGAGCTGCACTGTCTTTCCCAAACAAAGATTGAGACAATACAAAATACTGCTAATACAAAATATGAGTAATAGGTACTAATATTCCAGAGCTCAAAACAAATACTCACATGAAATGAAAACAAGAATTGGAAAAAGTGTAAGCCCAGTTTTCCCTTTTTTGCTCATTTTTTACTCACAGTGTGGTACCTCTGTTTATGAAAATGCTTTTTCATTTCAAAGTGATCAACAAAAATGGCCTTTTGCATCACCTTTTTCACCAGTGACATTTGTAACCAGCCTTTTCTATTTTTCAAAAGACTAATTAAGTATTACAGCAGCAAGAGAGACAGACCAGATAAGGATTAACAAAGGGTAACAAAACAGAACAAAGAAAATAAAACATTAGAAAAACCAGATCTGATGGAATTATACAGAAAAATGGAAAAATAACTATACCATAAAACAAACTAGAAGGACCCTCAGAGAGCGCAGACCTAAGCTCCAAAATGTAATGGGTTCTTCCTTGGCCCATGCTACACCCTTCCACCAAGTTTCATGAAAATTGGGCCAGCAGTTTTTCCATAATCCTGCTGACAAACAGGCAAACAACCACAACCAAAAATATAACCTCCTTTGCGGAGGTGATAAGAACGCTTTAGCTTTTTAATCTCTTTATTTATTATTATTTATTTATGCAGACTATGAATGCATGTCTTGATTTCAATTTTCTTTGCTGCAGAATTCACTAATCGTTGAAATCCCTCCCTACCGGAACCAAAGACTCTCCACCCCAGTCCACGTCAACTTCTACGTCTGCAACGGCAAGAGGAAAAGAAGCCAGTACCAGCGCTTCACCTACGTCCCTGCCAGCGGTAAAGCTCTCCTCCTCTCACACATTCACCACTTCTCCTGTTTGCTTTGACTGACTTTTTAATGAGAATGCCCATTTCATGACGATTTGAACTGCCCAACACTGTGATGGCATAACTGAAAGAATTTGGTGGTGTCAAGCTGCAAACTGCAGATTGCAACCAGCTGAAACTTCTCCCAGCCAGAATTCCTTCAGTGTTCATTGTTCAGGAGGTTTTTAACTGTGAGCTGAATTATCCGCAGAAGTCTCCTCCTCTCCAAAACAAACCAAACCAGGTGATTGAGAGCAGTGAAAACACTGAATAAAGCAGTTTCACTTTACAAATCATTTTTTCCCCTGCACTGTATGGCATTTCAGAGACGGGCAGCACGCCCACCACTTGCTATTGTGTGCTCACCTTCTGATTCAGACATTCAGGAGGTTTTTACCGTGAGCCAAATTATCCGCAGAGGTCTCTTCCTCTCCAAAACAAATGGAATCGGTGATTTGAACCGGTAGAAACACTGGATAAAGTAGTTTCATGTTACAAGATAGTGTTTCTCCAATGCTGTACCTGCTGCACCTTTTTTCTCTCTGATAACTTAAGCTCCAGATGATCAGGAGATTTTTACCATGAGCCATATTATCCACAGAGGTCTCTTCCTCTCCAAAACAAAAGGACCTGGTGAATCAAACTAGTAAACACCCTGAAGAAAGTAGTTTTAATACCAGTGAAAGTTTGATATTGCTCATTGCAGATGGGCTTCTAACTATGGTAGCAGATGCAAAAATGCAAACACACAAATTACCCTATCTAGAGCCAGTGCTTGGTTTGTCCGTTCCAGGCTACTGTAGAAACATGGCGGTGCAACATAGCAATCTCCATGAACTAACTCCCTATGTAGATATAAATGGCTCATTCTAAGGTAACGAAAACACAACAGTTCTTATTTTCAGGTGATTATACACTAAAGAAAACATGCTCAGAATAGCCTTTATATGATATGTTGAGGGGTTGTGGTGTCAGCAATATCAACAGACAGTCACTGCAGTGGATCATGAATAATGCTTTCAGTGGTTGCTGACATTTGTTAAAAAGGAAAAACCTTTGGTGAAATAACTGCAACTAGAGTGTTTAATAGACATTTAATTGTCATACAAATTTAGCACTAAAATAAGAGAATACCCCCTCATTACTGCTAAGCCCTCAACACATCGTTACTTATTCTTTCTTTTACTTTCCTGTCATCACTGCAGCACTTCACCACTCTCAGTCTGCTCTTTGCCTTTCATACCCTAGACTAATTAAAAACATTTTACATCTGAAGACAAGAACAAACAGTTTGTATTCCCCTTTGTCTTGTGGTTTGCAAGGGAGGAACAAAGCAATGCTATTATTCCTTCATTGTAAAAAAAAACTCTATAAAATCTGTTCTTTTCCATACCTGTACACTGCAGTGACTGGACACACAAGGGTGGGGAAAGGGGGCATGGGAAAAGCATGTTATTTGAATAGAGAACCTATTGCCAAGCTAAATATAAACACTGACCCACCAACTGAAATGTAAAAACCACTGCTAATTGCACTGTGGCGCTTGGAGCGAAAATCCAGTGGGTGGTTCAAAGCTGTGATTCAAGTGAACTGGCCCAGCCCTGTACGTGGGCGATGGAGTGCCCCGCTGTGAAAGTGGAGCATTGTCCTCGGGACGCGCAGAGTGTGAGGGAGGGGAAAGACTGGGGGACGGCTAGTCTGGTCAGTGTCTCCTAAAGAGTGACGAGTCAGCCTGGAGAACAATATGATCTGCTAGTCCTCAAGAAAAGGAGAAAGTCAAGGAAAGTTAAAAAGAAATGGGTGGAGTGAAAACCAGTGGTGGAATGTAACTAAATACTCAAGTACTATACTTAAGTACAATTTGTAGATATTTGTACTGTACTTGAGTATTTACATGTTATTTTATTACATTTATTTGACAGCTTTAATTACTTATTAATTGATAGGTTTGGATTATTAATACAAAATACTATCAGCTAATAAATGATGACATATCACTCCATTACAGATTAAGCTACACAGCAGGATGTGAAGTGGTTAAAAATTACCTTCACCGTTACCAGCTGCAACATTAAAGTAATGAACACATTAATAATTATAATACAATGATGTAATAAACATCATTCTGAAATGGGCCATTCTGCAGAGATGTGGACTCAAGTCACATGACTTGGACTCAAATTAAGAATTTGATGACTTGGGACTTGAGGCTTGACTCAAGACTTGTCAGTCTTTACTTGGGGCTTGACTTAGAACTTATTAATCTTGCCTTGTGACTTGACTCAGGACTGGTCAGTCTTTACTTGGGGCTTGGCTCAAGTCTTGTCTTTCTTGACATCGGACTTGACTTGGGACTTGATTTGGGCCTTGTCAGTCTTTACTTGGGACTTGACTTTGAACTTGTTAATCTTGCCTTGCGACTTGACTCAGCACTTGTCTGTCTTTACTTGGAGCTTGGCTCAAGACTTGTCAGTCTTTACTTGGGGCTTGACTCAAGACTTGTCTTTCTTGACGTCGGCCTTGACTTGGGACTTGACTCAGGACTTGTCAGTCTTTAATTCGGACTTGACTCAGAACTTATCAATCTTGTCCTGTGACTTGACTCAACAATTGTCTTGCTTGACTTGGGTCTTAACTTGGGACTTGACTCAGGACTTGTCAGTCTTTAATTGGGACTTGACTTAGAACTTATCAATCGTGTCTTGCGACTTGACTCAGGACTTGTCAGTCTTTAATTGGGACTTGACTTAGAATTTATCAATCGTGTCTTGCGACTTGACTCAGGACTTGTCAGTCTTTAATTGGGACTTGACTTAGAACTTGTCAATCTTGTCTTGCGACTTGACTCAGGACTTGGGACTTGAGTGCAAAGACTTGAGACTTACTTGTGACTTGCAAAACAATGACTTGCTCCCACCTCTGCTAATTTGACTTGTTTTTTACTTGTTTTACTTAAAGTCAGTGGTTCCCATCTATATTTCCTCTCACTGAGTACACTGACGAGCTCTGACTGAGTGACATATTTTATGGATATTTCTCATTATAATTAAAGCACAACATTATAACTGATAAACTGTACAATTAACCCAAATATTAAACACAATAACTACAGTAGGTTTGTGTAAAACAAGCAAGTTAGATCAAATTTAAGCAGATTATTTCCTGTATTTATTTTATCAGAGACGATATGAATCAGAGAGATCCTTACCCTGTGAGATTTTTCTTTAAGTTTATATCTTGAGTGATAATCTTAACTTTAAAATGACAATTTCAATTGGTTTTCTTCAGAGAAATGACTGACATGCTGGTGCTAATATTGTTACAGCTTTACCTGAGTAAGATTTGAGTACTTTTACTTGTAACAGAGTATTTTTACACTAAAGTAAAAGATCTTCTTCGACCCCAGGTGAAAACACAGCTGTAAAAATATATGAGAGGCTCAATTTCTCAATAATGAAATGTAAATCGGTTTCAGTCTTTCCTTTTAAAATCATGTCATTAACTTTAGTGCAGCAGCAGGTGTTACAACAGCTCGTACGAAAACAGCAGATTTATTTTGGGAACATGCACACGGCTGATTTTCACACTCCGGAAACCCAGGGGCATGATGCTCTCTTTTGTGGCAACACAAACATTCGTGCTTCTTCTGTGCTCCCTTTCTGTGCATGTGCCTATCCTCCACAGGCAGACAGAAACACTTCCTCCAAACAGGCCAGAAATAGGGGTGCATGTGCTATTTTAGTGCTGCGGTTGGTGTAACCATCTCATCACAGTTCCTCTTTTACAGTTGTTGATAATGGAGGCTTCAGTAAAGCATGACGCGTCTTAGTTTCACTCCTTTTGGTCTAATTAGTCACTCACTTAGCCTGCTGAGAGGTTAAAAATATCTTTGTCAGGAGATTTCCCCAAGCTAAGAAAAAGATGCAGATAAACAACTAAACAATTATGTGCATCAGTGAAATATAAGAATAAGAGTCACAGAAGGACAAATAAAGTTTTTACTGTGTCAGCTTTGATTTCAAACACATGCTTCATGTTATAATCTAAAGCAGCTTCACCACAGAAGAGAAGAAGGAATAGATCCAGTGAAGTGATACAGTAATGAAGCTCAGGGTCAGAGCCGTGTTGTCGTTTCCTTGTTACTGGACTGAAACGCTTGTTATATAAGATTGATGTCGTGTCAGGAGCTGCAGCATATCGGCGGCCCACATTTTAAAAACTTGTTTCGCACTGAAATCTGGATGACAGAGAACAAATCCTTGACTCAGTGTAACTCTGGTCCTCGTTTGTGCGATAACTGCTATCCTCAAACACCCAGCAGCCTCCATTTTGTCTTTTTTCAGCTTCATCTTGTGTTTAAAAAAAAAGCAGCTTCAGTTAAACTTTTTCTTTGTCTCAATGAGCGAGCAGTAATTTACTTTAAATTGCCGAACCCTGCTGAGAATAAAGCTGCTGTTACAGCAACATATTTCATATCGCACATTTAGTGGATATTAGCACCAGAGCAGTGTCCAAAGAAAATAAGCATTTTATTATAGAAGCAGCTGGATGTTTCTCGTGTTGATGAGTCATCCCTTTTTTTCCTACTTTTGTGAATATTTTCTGCAGGGTGGGAGAGCTCAGGCCCAGACACAGAGTCTCATTGATGAGAGTGTTTGTTTGGCAGCGGGTATCCTAGCCACAAACCCACTCACTCACTCACACTTGCAGGACGGCTGCAGTACGTGTTTACTCATTTAGCTTTTCCTTCTTCTGTTTCCCCTCCTCTGCCCTCAGCTCCGACAATAAAGACGGAGCCACACGACGACTACGACGCCCCCCTGGTGTGCGGCCAACATGGCCCCGGCCTGTCCATGCACCCAAAGCCATACTTCCCCCCTCAGGTCATGACCCCGATGATGACCTCTGACCTCCGGCCGTGCGTTGTGGGCGGGGCTTACTCTGTCAGCCAGCAAAGATTGGCAGCCAAGCCTTCCTCGCTCCCCTCTCCGAGCACCAGCCCCAAACTGCACGACCTGTCGCCACCGCTGCCCTTCTCCAAATGCCTCTCTGCCGGCCCAGCCGTCCAGCACCCGGGCCAACAGTCCCCGATCCCGCAGGTCTCCATCATCCAGGAGACTCCTGGGCGCTACCAGCCGCCCAGCCTCTACCCACCCAGCAGCTCCCCCTCCTCCTCCCCAACCTCGCAGCCCTCAACCCCGACCGACGGCCCTTTCTCTCCAGCCCTCTGCATCACACCAGCTCAGCCAGTCAGCAGCGGCAGCACCAGCCCAGGAGCTCAGCAGCACCCCAAGGTGCCAGAGAGGGGGCGGGGCTCCCTTCAGGAGGAAGGCAGCCCCCCGACGCTGGCTGTCAGCATCAAACAGGAACCACAGGAGCTGGACCAGATGTACCTTGATGATGGTGAGTGAAAAAGTTTTTGTTATCATACAAAATGATGCCTAACGTTCTAATCCATGGAAACAATTATAAAGCGAACTACTCGTCCAACCTCCTAATTAACTAAACAAAGAGGTTTTTATTGCCCTCCAGCACAAATGATCATAACATGTCTGCAGGTGCTGATAGGAGTCTTGATCAATATCATACAGTATGACTCACTGATCACTTTGCCAGGAGCGGAAACTTGTGGCCTTTAAAACTCACTTTGGAGTTTTTTTGTTTTGGAAAAAAACTAACCCATTTTCAGTTAAAAGGACAGTTCGACATTTTGGGAAAACACTTTTTTTTGCTTTCCCGTCAGGAGTTAGATGAGAATATTGATACCACTCATGTCTGTATGGTAAATATGAAGCTACAGCCAGCAGCCAGTTAGCTTAGCTCAGCATAAAGACTGGAAACAGGGGGAAACAGCTAGCCTGCCTCTGTCCAAAAGTTAGAAAAGCAGACTACCGACACCTTTAAAGTTCACTACATCTTAAGCTAGGGCTGTACCTGACTCAATAACATTTTTGCAGACACTAGATATAAAGCAAAAGCCAGACACCATATCATATTAAGTTGCTGTGAGCTGTAAATTCATAACTTCTAAGCAGAAGGCAGTACACTGTATACTGACTGACACAGAAGTACACTGTATACTGAGTTCAGTGGAGAGGTCCCTGACGTATGATTTGAATCTTCAACTTTCAGGGAGCAGCCCTACGTTATATTTCATTTGATAAAATCAGTGCAAAAATTATGGTTCTATTTCTTCAAGTCTCAGCAAGAAAGCACGAAAAACAAACATTGCAGCACGTTAAATCTATAAAGGCTGAAAAAAAAACATCAAAATCAACTGACACATGTTTCTCAGGTCTCAAAACACTCTCAAAACTATGTGCACCAAAATTTGCTATTTACTGCACTGTTTGGTGTATTTGGCCTTATTTCTCATCACTGAAACTTCAGGAAACCTTTGAAAGAAAACATTTATTCATTGTGAGAGATTTTTACAAATTTATTTGCAATGTGTTACAATGTCATTTGAGCCTCCCCTGCACAGTGATGTGCAGTGAGACTACTTTAAAGCTTAAATGGCTCTAGCAAACCTATGAAAACTTTTCATCATATTAGGACTAATTTTAGTGACATCACATATTCAATGAGACTATAATGTGTGATAAATTATTACTGTAATGTGAGTCTTTGTCCGTTTGGCCACTCCGAGTACCGATACCATACGGCACGAGTAAACGTGCATTGAAATCCAAGTCTGTCAGAGTGTTTTTTATTGTTCGAGACAATGGACGTGAGAACATGTGAAAAGTTTCAATTGTGTGAGTTAACGATCAATGCCTGAGAGTCTGCAGCCCTGTGCAACATATTTGTACCAAGTTACGTGCACTGGTGCATGTGGAGCTGAGCAGCTCAAAATTTTTGTGCATGACCATGCATATGCATGAGGTATTTTTAGCTCTGCTTATTATAACAGAATTCAGCCTGGATATTGTTAATTAGTTATCCAACCCAACACCTCTTCAGTTGTCTACACTGTGAAACTATGATATTACTGTCAGTTACAGGCCACTGTAGCAGGAGTTTGATGTGGGAGTGATGTGGTGACAAAAGATTTATCACTGTTGTTGCAAGTCCTGCTTCACTTGAATAGAGGCTGTTCAAAGACATGTTTTTTAATATCTCTTTATGAATACTTTCACTTTTGTGGTCCGTTCCTTTGTCGTCTAACATCTGAGGTAATTAGAGCAAAGAAACCTGGTGGTCCTGTATTTGATATATTTGGCTGTAAACCCTGAATGAGACAAGCCTGCATAAAGCTCGCTGATATAATGAACACAGCTTTTGTGACTCCTTTTATTTATCTCAGAGAGAGCAGATTTTTAGGAGCACAAACTTTATGATCTCACTGCTCAGGCCCTCTGTGCTCACCACTGAGGTTCAGGGGGCCGCGCGCTCTGCGCTGTGGTGATTTGAAATAAATTGGATAAATGATCTTCCTCGGGGCAAGAAGAAACAGTCCCCGGCTGCGTGGAGAAAGGGGAGTGCAGTAGATGAAGCAACACTAACCAGCAGCTATCTAGCGGACAGAGCAGCGGGGGCTTTGATCCGTCACCAGAGCCCCCGCTGAATCGTCTGGCCGGGCTTCCTGGCGATGGCGAGTGAGACGCTGTTGTTGGGCCGCAGACTGCAGGACTCAGACTGCTCCCATGCCACTTCCTCTGAACAGTCTGGGTAAATACATTAACACTTGTTAGGCCTGTCTGCGGGGATATTTGGCCGGCTCGGGCTAAAGATTTGATTTGTAATTATACTCTAACTGGTGCTCATGTCTCTTGGGGATTTTTTGGTTCAAACCAGGTGTAGTTAAAGTGAAAAGTTTTAAAGTGCGCCACCATAACCATAATGGATATTTCTGAGGAGCTGGGCCCCCTATTACACTTGTTTTCATTGGCAAATTGGAGGAAATTTTGCTAAGCATTCCAAACTTAATATGGCTTCTCACTTCATTAAAACCTTTGGCAGAGTTTGATGCAACGCTTTGCTTTATGGCCTCGTTCAGGTGTGGTGTTACTGTAATTTCGTGTTGGCCATGATCGTTAAAACTAAGATATCTGAGACTTTTAGAGGAACTGGGACACTGACTGTCATTACAAGAATTCAGTGGAAATAGGATTGTGTTTATGGGCTGTAATTTAGTATATCATTATCTGTGCATTATTGCCAGACATAGAGATGAATCACTGGCATTTATTTATTTAATGTAGTGCAATTTAATTTAATTTCTGACCAATTTGACACAAATAATTTAAGTGCATGAATGTTTAAGCACTTATGGTGTCAAGCAGCCACAGTAAACGTCACTTATAAATGAAAGTGACACACTCAGGTGTTTTTGATCCCCACCCAAACTCTGTTGCTGCCATTTTGTCAGTAATCAGAGCTGATATCTTTCCCCCTGTTTGTGCAGCCCTCTTGTATTAATCAGGACCCCCTTCTGTTGCTCATTTTTTCACACCGTCCCCTGGGAGGTTACAAACATGTCTGCTCATGGAAAGTCTGAATCGTAGCTGTCTGGCCCTGAGCCGGAGGTCTAGGCTGCAGGGTGCACAGTCTGAGCTCCAGCGCTGCTGAGGCTGAGGGAGATGGAGGCTGGCCACGCTGCCATAAAACTTGCTGACTTGAGAGGTTTGCATGCTTCCCTTTGGCTCACAGAGAGAGTCTGGAAGAGGTGGCCAAAGCCATACGTTATACTGCACAGTAGTGTGCCGAAGACTTTTGTCAGTGGTGAGGTAACATGAGCAAAACATGTGCATTCTGGAGTCAGATCGGAGCCAAATAACATTACGAAACGCTTTTTTATGGCATGTTGTGGCCTTGTTAGATGTCAGAACTGTATAATTGATGAGTAGAGATTTTAGATGATCATAGGAAAAGAATTTGTGAGAAGTATCTGACTGAAGATTCTGTTGAATCTGTCTGATTTTATACAGTAACACTTGCTTCCTTTTCTCAAATATTAGTTATTAGCACGCTATCTTTGTACGAAAAAAATCTGCGGTTTATCAAATAATTCATCGACATCCACATCTGGTATGACTTGTTGCCAGTTAGTTATTAGTGCATTTTTAAATCCAATGAGTGGCCAGAAAAGAAAAAAAACACTAGTGTAACAATGTAATGAAATGCATCAGCCCTTCAATTAAAAACAGCCTAAAAAGTTCACTTCTTGTAGAGACCACTTTTACTTTTACCTTCCAAATTAAAGGTCATAGAGAGCCGTTTCCAAAACATAAAATACCCAGCTATTCATGGGAAAGTTTGAGGAATGTCATCTTTGGCTTTGTATACAGTCAGACACCTGCCTTTAGAGAGTAGAGTCCAAGTAAAGAAGCAGTAGTAAAATAAAAATAAAAAATCATTCCTTTCCTTTGAGGGCCAAAAATTGGTCATAGTTAATGACACAAAACTGGCAAAAAGGTAATTTAACTACTTGAATCACCACACAAATCTCTCTCTCTGTGAAGAATCTCTGTGTAAAAGTGTGTGAGCAGCAACATCTGTGATGTACTGTATATACATACTGCAGGGTGTCCAGCTGAAGCTAATTTGCAGCCCCTGATCAAGATTTTAAATTCATGTTAAAAAATATACAGTAGATTCAGGATAAAACAACAGAACACACAAAACAGTGTGTGCGTGTCTCTATTTATTGTTTATGACTGTGTATGCATCGACATATGTGTGCGAGAGTTTGTAGGTGTGTATGCATGTGACACAGGTCATTTATCACAGGATTGTTTTAGTGCATATCTTTATTTTCTAGTTTTCTAGTATAAAAGGTTTTTTTTTGCAGAGATGTTTCTCAGAGGTCTTCTCCCTTTTCTATTATTCTTTTTTCTTAAAGCTCACACCATTTCCAAAAAGCTATTGTCCCCAGATATTGTCTTTTTAAATAATACCTGAGCTCAAAAAAAAAAAAAAAATTGGCAGAATCAGAGCTGAACTATAGAACCGCTCTGAGGGACTGACTTGCAGTAACCCAGTAAGAGCCTCGTAATGTAGGCCAAGAACATCTCGTGGCTTGTGGCCTGGGCTTGACGTGGCAGTAAGCAGGGGAGGGGGTTCGTGGGTGTTCTGCACCCCCCAGCCTTTTTTCTCTCATTGTCTCAGCTCCGGTCCCTCAGCTGATTTATTCACAGCGATCAGAGAGATTGTTGAGTATCTCTCCAGCTGATCGGTTCCCCTGCAGTATTGTGTTATTACAGGCGCAGGATCTTGTTGACGCGTTTCGTCCCTTAATGAGGCAAACAGTGCTGTCCTGCTAATTGTTTGGGAGTTCCTCGTTTGTCAGGGGTTTCCTGGTCAGAGAGCTGGGCTGTATCAGTCAGCTCCAGCTGCTGCGGACCTCCATGGGACAGGAAACCAGTTCCTGGATTACTTCATATCAAACCCCACCTTCCTTGTTCTTAAATAACTGTAAAGTGTGAGGCATATTAGTTCACTAACATTGCAGTGCCTTGTGTTAGATTAGTAGCGAAGTACGAGCACAGAGTAACACTGTTACATAATATATATACAGTATACTGCATAGTCATATTTTTAGCCTATGTTGTTGTATTTCCTGTACTTTTGTTCCCAGCTGTATTTACAGTCTGAAGTTCAGTCTTTACCAGTTATAAAATACATATTTATTCCTTTTACCTGCTGTTTAATAATCCAGTTTGTTTTGGTGTGAGTTGCTGTGTGTTGGAGATCTTGCACAGTGATATGGTCAGCGGTTGTAGTTCAGTAGAAAGAAAATAGTTCTTACATGAAACTGCTCAAAACAATCTCTGAGTAACTGGGTCATGATTTCTGGAAAGAGACATTGCTGTTGAGTTTTTCATATGTAATTTTTGGTGCTTTGAGCTCCACAAGCCAAGTGTCATCTAGACTTGGAGAGAAAGCAGACATCTCTATGGCCAATATTTCAAACACTGTGCTCCCACCAAAACAATCTAGATTAATAGACAGCATTACAGGTAAGAGGAAAAATATGTTTTTGATTTTTTGTGAACTGTCCGGATACAAACTTTCTATCCTTGTTGGCTCAAAAGCTGCCGCTGAGCAAACAGTTCGACCACAAGGTCCAATTCGTAGTTGTCCTGGAGTTTTTGATCATATCACAATCATATGAACGATGAAATCCAAACCTCAACGTGAACGAGAAGTTCTTAAAGAAAATATGAAAATTTGAATTTGACAACTGAGCAAACTGCATCCCCTGATGACGATCATGTGGCATGAAAATAGCCTCCATAACAGTTACCAAATTGACCTTGTGGTGAGGATATTTTCTTAGCTTTATTTATTTTTTCTTTAATAGTAAATTTAAAAATAAAATTGGTTTATACAGTACATTTCAGTGTGCCCAAGGCCACTCAACAGAGTAAGAAAACAAAATAAACAAATAGTTAAACAGAGTGAACAAAACAAGAACAGAAATAGTTATAGTGATGATTGTAGGTAGGTTTTCAGCAGTTTTTTGTAAATGTCCAGAGACGGAGCTTTGCGGATCTCTGCCAGTAGAGTTCCAGACAGTGGAGGCTGCCACACTGAATGCTCTGTCACCAAGGGTGGGTGTAGGGGTGGAGAGGACCAGAGGTACTGGGATGGGGTATAGGGAGTGAAACTTCTCGATGCTCTCTTCAAAGCCAAACTCCACTGACAAAAACAGTAATTTTGCCTCACTGAACACGGGAGCCGCTGGACTGCCGCTGCATTGATCAGTTTGTGTGGGACTTTGGTGTTTTAGGATAGTGTTAGTTTGGATTTACCAAATTCACAATAACACAAACAAACTAACTGATGGACACAGCAGTAGACCAGCAGCTTACGTGTTCAGGGCTGTCTGTTTAGGAGGAACTGAGCATACAACTGGATAAGTAAGACGTCTGTACCGCATGAGATGTGTGAGTGTTTGTAAACTGATGTTTTGATGGAGGTTCTCTGTTATTAATTGTGGACCCCATGACTGCGAGATGCAAGAAAAACAACATTTTTTCCACTAATTAAATTAAACACAGAAAAACAGCAATAGATATGGTCATTTGGGGCTGAAGTATTTTTGAAATTATATTTTTGTACATTAGTAATGATCCGTACAGTAACTGAACATCATCTCTTTTAAAATCACGTATACTGTAAAAAAAAAGAAAAAAAGAAAAGAAGAAGTTGTTTTATTTTCTTGATTTTAATCAGAATTCAAGTGACATTTCCTGAATGAACACCCAGAGTCTACCGTCCCACCCAGCTGCTGTAAACTTGTTTGAAGCATCTCCATCACCCGACTCTCTCCTGAACGAATCAATGTGACCGGATGACACATGACACAGATGTCACACTGGTGCTGGGCCTATTTTTAGGACTTCGTTGTAAACACACTTAGAGATCAATAGATTGACTTTTTCTTTCAATTAGATCCTCCACATCAAATGTGACGCCACAATGAAAAGTGGGCCATGGCAACGGACACATAAACAGTAAACTTTGTGAACGTTGTGGCCTCAGTGGGACAAAAGATAAAGTTTTACTGCCTGCCCTTCCTTTGTTAATAAACTGCAAGAGTGTTTTCACCTTTTCATTAACATGTGAAAAATATTCCAACACATATGGTGCACAATGATGCATAAGGAAAAATATCTGAACGCCATAATTCATCCGTGATTTTGATAGCTACCGAACAGGTGATGACATGATGTGGAGCTCTGACAGTGTCTTGATGTGCTAAATTTACAGCCGACGTCAGGGCTCGATGTGCGCGTTGAGAAGTCGTTGTAATAACGTCCCATTGAGGTTTTTGAACTCAAAGATTATATCCTTCCACCTCCAGATGCGCAGAAGGTCAAAGCCAGATCAAATAGAGGAGACGAGGTCAGTCAGTTCAGTCTGGGCCGAGAAGAGCACACATGGCAGCGGAACGACACGCTGTAGGAGGGTGGAGATGAGGTTAGAGTGTTTATTTCTTCTGGTTCAAGAATGTCTTTTTGGTGATATTGGTCATATTCTCACATTCACATGGCTGGCGGCAGCATTCTGTCCTGGTGATGAGCTATGTTAGAAAGCATCTTGCATTACCGTATAAACATAAGTATTAATCATTAACCACCTCGTCAGATTTCATTCCCTCCACTGTGCTCTAACAGATGGGTGTATCCATTTTCCATGATGTATAATACACGGCTAAAATACAGGCCAGCACCAGCGGCTTTGCATTTTTTTAGCACATTACCAGAGAATCACAAACACAAAAAGCAGACGTTTCTTGGTTGATTTTTCTACCTTCCAAGCCTCCTCTGTTTCAGTATCAACCTGCAGAGAGCTGAAACTTGTTTGAGTGTTTATTCGTTATCATTGTTAATATTATTGTTATTATTATTATTATTATTATTATTAACTACTTGTCACATTTTTATTCATCAAAGCTCCATTATTTCTGCATGGTAAAGTAGCTGTGAGCAGAGAATATTTTAACTAAGAAGTCAAACAAAAGGTAAAAAAACAACAAAAATTCAAAAACGTTATTTCTTTTTTAAAGAACAGTTTTGTTGGGCAGCCTACTCTTAGATATATGAGTGTTCTTGAAAGCATCATTACTGAGTCTTTAATGCCTGCTCACAACAGCATCACCACCTAAAATATTAACTTTAACAAAAGAAAAAAAAAGCTGAAGTATTCACTCCAAGTTGATTTTGGTACTGTATTGAAAATAAGATAACATAAACCTTTATTGATCCCCAGTGAGGAAATCTGATTATTGCAGCAGCTCAAAGACAGTAATAGTAGAGAAAAAGTAAAAGAAATAATAACAGGTATATCAAAAATTAAAACAAGAATAAAGATTTCAATATATATTATATATGTATATATATATATATATATACACATATATATATATATATATATATATATATATGTATATATATACACATATGTAGAGGAGTGGAGTTTTGTGATTCAGAAGTGCCATGCAGTGTGTACTGTGTGTCTTGAAAACGTTGTTTGCCAAACATCAAGTGTTAAATGCCATTTTGAAACCATACACAAAAACGACACATTGATTAAATGGGAGAAAACAGAGCGCAGCACGATATTTAGTATTACACTTGATGAAGTGTGGATGTGAATGATATACCACGTTTGGTAATCATAGGAAGACATACCACCAAAATTAGCGTGTGTATGTGGGAAAACACATGGGAAAACCAGCTAAAAATATACTCCTTTCTCATTGCCAGTAGACTAGAGCGAACGTGAACATGGCGCAGATGAGTATGCCTTTCTGTGTGTGTGTGTTTGTGTGTGTGTGTTGTTGTTTTTTTGTTTGTTTTTTTGGTTTGTCATGTTCAATGTCAAGGACAGGCTCGAAAACAGGTTATTAAACAGTAGAAAGCAGCATGGGGGCCTGTAAAAACTTAATTGTGATTACTTCTTTTCATTTATCTCTTATTTATTTAATCTGTCTTTCAAACTCAGTGCAGACTAATTTGGATCGATGTTTGAGTGTGGCCTGGACGAGAGGAATGTTATTTTGTGGTGGCAGATCATTGCATCTCACCAGTTAAGGGGCTAAAATTAGGACGTTCACCTGGGTGTTGTGTTTCCATCAATGCCGATCCGAGCTGGAGCCAGTAAATCCCCGTGATTACTGCAGAGCCATTTGACCTGAGTGTGAACACCGATTCCTATTACATTAAAAAGCCAGATGTTAGCGAGTGTTAGCGGGTTATTTGTGCAGTGGAAAAGGGGCTACACTGTGATTTGTCTTTAAGGGAGGAGCTCTGATGCATAGAACCAATGCCTCAAACAATAAAAGAGAAGGACGTAGCCAAGGTTTTCAAGGAGCATTTTGAGGAGCGATGGATTGACATTATATTGATATGGCACACTGATTAACAGAAAATTAAAAAATGATACTCCATTTTAAAAAAAAAGGTTGCTAACACTTTCTGTTATGAAGTTGTGGTCTCCTAACCCAACACGCTGTAATCAGGATTATTTGCTCAGAAGACTCTGTCCAGAACCACAGGAGATATTAAACACTGTGTAATATTAGTGGAGTACTCCTTTAAGAATAATCTTTTGAACATGGATGATGAGTTTATCCTTTTTTGGCCCTCTGCTAAATCAAGAGGAAATGATTTAAAGCACCTGAATATAAATGTCACTGCTGTTTTGACGAGTTATCTCCCACACTGCCAAGTTCTCCATGAAGACATCCTGCTGTGAATCTCACCCTGTCTTCATAGTCACATAATAGCTTCAGTGTGTTTCTGTCACACACTCCTGTGAGATCTCTGTTGTGCTGCAGTTATCAAATCTCTCAAGAGATCTTCCTGTTGCCGTATTAATAGCAGCCAACCAGCACGCCAAGCATATGAACTTTATGTCTAGACGAGTGTAACATATCACTCTTGTCTGGGTGATTTGCTGTTTTGCACCCACATTTTTGAGCTATTATGAGTTCCTCCTGACTTATTATTCTACCCTCTTAAAGGTAATGATGACACACTTGTATGTTTTGTGTTTTTTCACCATGGTGGCCTCCTCCACCTCTTGCGAGGCACGTACACCCTGTCATCTTTCTCGTAGTAGGAAGCAAGTGGTATTTCTGGTAGGAAATGGCTGTGCCAGTGCTGGGTCACTGAGGAAAAGGCTGCTCTGCTGCCTGCGATGAAAATAAACTTTAAAAAAAAAGTAACTCCATTGTGTGGAGGGGAATCTCAGGTTTCCAAGGCTGCTTTTCCAGCGTCCAGTCAGTCAGAGGGAATTCCTCCCATCAGCCTGCTGGCTCGGTTTCTCGGGGGCCGGATCCAGCCAGGGGTGTTCCCCTTCCCCTCTCACATTTCTCATCCCTGTGAGAGCTGAGAAAAGAGGGCCTGAACCTGAACCTGGAGGCTGATTAGAGAGGGAGGAACTGTGGAGACTATCTCTTCAAAGTAATAAACTAGTTCACAGATAAGAACAGTAAAGCTAATGAAAAATGAACCCACTCAATCCCCCTTAGTGAGGAGAAAAATGAAAGATTTGTCCTTTTCTCTTGTTATCGGTGCATTGATATCTATGTATTTTTTTCTGATTTAGCTTCAGTCAGCCTCACTTACTCCTGGATCACCCCCCCACCCCCCTCCGTCAGCCAAAGAACACAGCTGATGAAAACAGATAAACAAGTGCACCTGGATCCTTAAGAGACAGCAGGAGGTTGCATCATCTCTCTTGATAAAAAAGGTCTGGGGATCTCAGATATAAAGTGATTCTATTAGCTTCGCTCAGAGGAAATAACAGCTTCTTCAGAGCTCAGAGGACTTATATTCGCAGTGGCTGGAACTTTAAAGCTGCACTAAAATATATTTGATAGTAACAATGGAAGAAATAACTATGTGTGATGTAAAAAGGGTCACTTGTAATGATGAACCCACAGTGACTTACAACCAAGCGGCAATATGAAGTGCTAAAACTGCAGTACCTCAAATGGCCACTTGAGCCTGGCTCCAGAGGCCAGTCAGTCCCTATAGACCCCCATGTTAAAATGCCCAACTTAACAGCAGAAATAACCATGTATACAGCCTGGTACATATAAACGTTTTGATCTCTATAACTAATCTCCCTCTTCATTACAACCAAATGGGGGGTTAATTTTTATATAACTCATCCATTTACATTTTATTAAGGCTTAAAGTTATGCATAATTGAGGGCAGGCAGCGTCGAATGGCTGTCTGCTGATAGTGTCCTCAGCTTCTCAGTCAGATTTTTGGCAAGAGCCAAAATCATGGCTGTATAAAGAGAACTGGATGGCGTTGGAGGAGGGCCCTTGTCAGTGGTGCATGAAGCCGAAAAAGATCAACTTCCTGGGTATAAAATTGCCAGGCTCATCCACATTGTGTTGCCCATAGAGCAAGTGCATCAGAGGCTGTTGCTAGCTGAGAAGCTAACTTCCAGTCTAGAGCACTGATAACTTGAATGGGGATGAAATGATTTGATCATGCCGCTCTTCTAGACTTCAGAAGTGCCATCTGACCAAATGGATCAAATCCTGATAGTGAAATGTTTCGCAGGGTTTGTGACGCTCCAAAAATGTATCCACTGATTTACAGACGTTCATTCATTCATTCATTCATTTTCCATAACCGCTTATCCTGGTAGGGGTCGTGGGGGGGCTGAAGCCCATCCCAGCTGACACTCGGTGAGTGACTACCTACCCTGACATCATCAGACTATCACAGGGCTGACACATAGAGACAGACAACCATTCATGCTCACATTCACACCTACGGGCAATTTAGAGTCACCAGTGAATCTGACATGCATGTCTTTGGACTGTGGGAGGAAGCTGGAGAACCTGCGGTAACCCACGATTTACAGACGTCCCTTTCACAGTTTAATTCTATGTAGAAAAAGTCTTTTTGGACCAATGGCTTCACGTGATGAACCCAGAAGTTGCAATTCCACGGTTTGGCCACTGTGTCACATTGGCTCCAAAGCAATCTTCCCAGGGGTTTGGCAAAAACTCAAGGCTCCAAAATGGGAGTCCACAAATCAATGAAAGATGTCATTGTGGCTTTGTCTGCTATTTTTTATAGAGTTTATGCTTATTGCCTATTGTCAATTCATTAATATTGTTTTAGCTGTTAAAGTGGAAATAGACACATTTTCATCTTCTCTCCCCCCAGCATTTTCCATTGGTATTATTTTTGGTGCCACTGTTGCAAAGACAACCATAATCCTTTCTGTTTTCCTCAGAGCCTTGCAACTACCAACGGCACAGGACACACTGCATTTTGTTTTCCACAGTTACTTCTGTCGCTCTGGCGTCCGCCATGTCTGCTACTGGAAATAGTAACTGCAAAGAACTTACATTGAGTCTCTCTGGTAATTTTGGATAGCTGCTGGTAGCTGATGGGGAAAGCAAAAGCACTGTCCTCTTCCTGTTTCGGTTGTGTAGATCAGGCCTTAATTTTCCTGGGAGATGGTACGCAGTGGCAGACGGAATTGCAGAGTGAAAGGGAGGTTTATAGGAAACAGACTGAAACACAGAAGGTGTCCTTATTTTATAGTCAATCAACTTCATGATGACAAGTTAAAGCAAAAACTGTGTCTATTTCCACTTAAAATAAACATTAATATTTGTAACTAAATAAACATTAATCAAAGATTGAGTTTGGAAAAAAATGTGTTCATATTAGATCCTATCAGTAGCAAAATGCGAACTGAGAAAATAAGTTTTCAGGGCCTTTAACATTACGCTGTACATGTACCCACTCAGCATGGTGACTTTACTCTATTTGGAGGTCATAAATACTGACCGTCCTCTTCTCTCTTTTTTTTTCCTTTTGCAGTCAATGAGATCATCAGGAACGACCTGTCGAGCATCTCCGTCCACAGCCATGCATAGTTTCCCGTCACCAACAAAACTGACACGGGACACAGAAAAAAAAAAAGGGAAACACCAAACAAAAGATGGACATTGTGCTTTTCATGCTTGGACTATAGCGTGCAGGAAGAAGCAGCAAAACAAAATGCAAAAAGAACAAATGTAAATGTATTGTCCAGATGACCAGGGTCCAACGTGTGCCTTGTTTTTCATATATATAATGCCTTTACACAGAAATTATCCAAGGAATAAATCACATGACTGACTTTTTTAAAGACATGTAAATTGAGTATGTAGCAACCAAACCTGCCACCCCACAACAAAGTATGCTTTTAGAGGACCAAAACATGTTTTATATGTCTTTTTTGCTGCAGTTTGTAAATGATCCAGTGCCTATGAGTTATGATATTTGTATATACAGTATCTGTAGTGCTTCAGTTTGCGTATCTGACTTTACAGAGAGACAATTTAAAAGAGAAGTGCCTTTTTGACTGGAAACAGAAAAACGTGGCCTGAGTTTGGCTTCACAGGTTCAACTTCAACAGATGAAAGATTTTATAAAGTAAGATAATGTAACTTTTGCTGAATAGAGGCTACAAATGGTGATAATGGGGTAATGTTAAATGATAAAAGACAAGGCAAACAGTAGCATGATTAGAGAATTGTGATTAGCCCCCCAAAAGCTACTGTTCAGTGAGGCTGTAGCAACAAAACCCCTGGGTGTGTTGAACTGATGAAGGGTTTGTTTAATTTCTCATGAACTTCATCAACTTTTTTTTAATTTGTAAAATGAAGAATGTGTTACTTCTTCTCTTAAAAGCTGCATTTAAATCATATTTAGTAAATAATAAAAATCGAATACATTTTCTGTATTCACAAATAACAGTAAGCACTTAACCACTAAACCTGTGGTATTACTTAGATTATATTCCATTAAAGGGGCAGTTCACCACAAAATCCAAAATGCACATTTTTCCTCTCACCTGTAGAGCTACTCATCAGTCTAGATTGTTTTGCTGTGAGTTGTTGAGTGTTGGCGATAATGGCCGTAGAGACGTCTGCCTTCTCTCCAGTATAATGAAACTACATGGCATTCGGCTTGTGGAGCTCAAAGTGCCAAAAAAAAATACATCTGAAAAACTCAACAGCAATGTCTCTTTTTAGAAATCATGACCTTGTTACTCAAGATAATCCACAGGCCTTGTTGTGAGCAGTTTCATGTAGGAACTATTTTCTTTCTACTGGAGTACACCAGCCAACTGCACCGCACAGAAGGAAGCGTGCATCTACTCATGGATGAGAGACTCATGCTTGTTACAGCATGAAATGTAAACATTAATGGCATCCTTCTTGGCTGAGCTGTAACGCTAGCTAGCTCAGCAATATATCCTCACACAATGATATGTATGATATCTTACAAATTAGAGCTCTACGAACAACATTACATACCTAAAGTAATGTTACATAGTCAGTGTTAAGTTAAAAGGTTAGGCATAGGAAAAGAAACACATTGACAACATACCTTGAAATGACTCAAAGTTCACACAGTTTTGAACACCAGTCTCCTGGTAGGAAAGGTTCTGGTTTGTTACCCAGCCTGTGCCCCAACTTGCATCTTTAAAGGAGTGCTCTTCTGTTCTGATCACAGCCTTCCCAAATATGTGGGTTATACACAAATTACTGGCTCATGATAATGTGGGATATGTACAAATTTTGGTGCAGTACTTTACATAGGAAAACATACAAATAGTGCATGAGAACAGCCTGAGCTCAGTGGTGTGAGGTGAGCTAGCAGTGGATGCACGCTTCCTTCTGCACGGTGATACAGTCGGTGGGTGTAGTTTGGTAGAAAGAAAATAGTTCCTACATGAAACTGCTCACAACAAGGTCTGTGGATTATCTTGAGTAACCGTGTCATGATTTCTGGAAAGAGACATTGCTGTTGAGTTTTTCAAATATATTTTTTTGGCACTTTGAGCACCACAAGCTGAGTGCCATCTAGTTCCATTATACCAGAGAGAAGGCAGACATCTCTAAGGCTGATAACTCCAACACTCAGCAACTCACACCAAAACAATCTACACGGATAAATAGCACAACAGGTAAGAGTAAAAATATGTGTTTTTGGTTTGGTTTGAACTGACCCTTTAAGATAACAATTTATTGTCACTTGAATTAACAACAAGTTACCCAAACCTCATCTAGAGGTCATATGTCTTCATGCACTCATACAGTACAAATAACTGTGTAGTCACAGAATAACAAGTCAGTTTGTGTCATTTCTGCATCGAAACTTGAAATCAACATGAACTTTGGAGTAAACTGTTGGCTACAGTCATTTCTATCAAAGACGAAATCATCTCAGTTTTGACAAAGCTTGACTTTTCTCTGGAAGCTACTATATGCAACATGCCGGTCGTCTCTCACAGAATGTAACTGTCTCTAATCCAAAGAATACCTAACAAAAGTGAACAGCAATACAAATATATAAAGTCTTTGATGTTTGTTTTTCTATTTTCATATTTATTCTCTTAGCATGTGCTCTGTTTAGTCATGTTCATCATACAGCCTCTCTGACATGGTTACCGACATACTGTGGTTTATCTACTCATTAGTTTGCGCTCTTATAGTAAAACTGAATGGGCTTACACACTTTGTTCTCATGTTTTTATATGTATTTATGAGTCTTAATCCATGTAACCGAAGCCATACTGAAATGTTTACCAAGGAGGTTATTGTTGCTCTACAACACATAATTCTGCTTTGTGATCTATTTTGTGTATTTGTCAATAAATAAGCCTTCATCTCTTGGATCTGAGTGACCTGTTCATACTGTAGAGAGGACATGAAATCAGTCATCATATTATGAAAGAGAGGGAGATGCCTTAAGAGTAGATTCATATTAACAACAGCATCGATAAATTCTAGGCCAGTTACCAGATTCAAGTTAAATTGTTCACAGGAAAAGTGAAGAACTTGGGTTTTATTTGTTTCAAATGTCCAGTAAGTACTGGTAAGGGACTGTTCTTTACTTATCAGAGGAGGGGGTGGCTTTTTTTTTGTTTTGTTTTTTTTGTTTGTTTTTTATATTGAGCCTTAGCCTGGTGAAACCATCCTAATCTCGCAAGCTCATATTCTATTTCGCTCCGCAGATCAGTCTGGCCATGCAATCAGAATAGGAGGGACAAGGAGCGGAGTGAATGCATTTCGTAAACAACCAACATGACTACTGATTTTGAAACTGCGATGGTAAATGTGTTGAACGAACTGGAATGTACATTTTCTTTAAAAGCAGAACAAATGGCTGCACTGAAAGCTTTTATTGGAAAAAAAAGGATGTGTTTGCCATCTTGGATGTGGATGTGTTTACCAACTGGCTCCGTTGATTGGGAAAAAGATGGGACTCAGTGAAAACCCAGTGGCTATTGTTGTTTCTCAGCTAGTTGCTCTCATGGAGGAGCAGGTCAAAGAAGCAACCAAACTGGGAATCACAGCCATGCAACTCGGAGTCCACAGTGAGGAGGAAATCCGCAAAGAAAGCAACACTCTTTCCCAGACATCATCACAGCTCATCTCCGCTGCAGCTTGCTGGTCTGTTTACAGTGGCGTTGTGCTAGCCTACGTCACACGTTTCGTTTACTCTGATTGGTTTTCCGTCTTTCCAATTGCGTGAAGGGGCACTTTGAGTGACAGCTGTTGATACTGCCCCTCGGGAATAGAGGAAATGTACAGTCCGTGTCCAGACCCATTCGTGTTTTGCGGATTGGGTCTGGAACGCCAGGGTAATTGAGCCTACCCGTAGCTACAAATATTTTTCTTTGGGCCTCCCTAAGTGACTGGCAGAAAATGCATGAGCCTCCTCCTAGCATACATTAGTTATTAGATTTTTAAAGTTAACCCTTTGACGTTTTAAAGTTAAAAGTTGTTTTTTTTCACTCTTGCTGTCCATGCTGGTTAGTCAGGACAAACGATTTATTTTGGGCCAATAAAATGAAATGAAGGAATGAATGAAATTTTAAGTGAGATGTAGAAAAAAGTGATTTTGATGAAATATCAATATGTTAAGCTAAGTTTTAGTTATATTTTGTTTACCGATGGAGGCATTCGTCACAAATGACGTGCCCAATGACCCTCAGAACTTTGAAAATCTAATGATAATTCCTGTTTTTACAGTTTCTGGCTATGATAAATGGTGTAATTTTGCAGATTTAAAAAAAAATGCCTTTCAAACTTGCCTGCAGGTTTGGAAGGCATTTTATCTTTAAAAATCTGCAATAGAATAAATACAAAATACCACCATTTAATTTTCTATGCCCCTTCTCTAAGCCAAAATAAAAAAAGTCCCCCCCAGCGCTTAAAAAATTATTTGACATGCTCCCCCTCAACAAGAAATGAACAGTCCCTAGGCTGCTGAAAAACAAGCTTCTTTCACAGTAACTGATTTTTTACTTTTTTATTTTGTAAGTGTGGTGCTGTAGTGGCTTTAACCCAAAAATAAACCTCATATCCATTAAACCTACAACCATCACTCACACAAACTAATCTTACTCTTCCCTGCATCCACAGAGACCACACTGCACTGGAGATCCATCAGTGTTTGATTACTGCTAAAAAACATTATTGCACATAATACTTTATGATTGATAACACCAGTTAGAATAGATTCCACATCCACAACCTAACATCTTCTGTTTCACAAGGTTTTTATATTCATTATTGTGTAATATTAGTCTTAAAGGCCTTTCCAGTGCAGTGGGTAGATGTTACAGTGCACACTGACACCTGGTGGTCTGCAGGATCTTTGCTGGATTTCTACACATGGAATGACTCTCAGCTTTGCCAACACTTCATACATCATGATGTCTGTATTTTGTTTATGCCTGATCCTCCTGACACAACACTCTGCTGTTGTGGAAAATCAGGGTGTGATGGGGTCACAGTTTGTTGGTTTTGCTTGGCTGCTTTGCACCTGTCACGTCTTTTAGGAAAATCAGGTGTTGTTTTTTACTCAGCCGGTCAGTCACTCTTTGGTCACGTCTGAGCAGCAGCTGAGCACACCTGGTAAGCTCCGACTTCATGAGTGTTGTGTTATATTATATATAATTGTATGAATATACTGTTGGTATAATTGACAGCTCAAGGTAACGTGATTTCTAAAAGAAATTAGACATGAGGACAGTTAAATATAATCTTTATTATGTCTGCTATTACATCCATACATAAAGATTTTAAATTACAAACATGATTACACTGCATAAATGTACATTATAAAGTCTCCTTGTCTGTAGTGATGTCCTAAAAAATCATATTTTTTCAAAAGAAACAAAGAATTCTAGCAGCACAGTTATATTTATTTTTTTTCCCAACTAAAAGCAAATTGCTTTTATTAATTTTTCAGGAATCAAGTGTCCTTCTTCTTCATTTCAATGCAACAATCTGCTTTATTCTGTCTAGTTTCAAGATACTGATTTAGAAAACCTTCACCTTCCAAATGATCATTTGTATAGCAATGACTCACCCCATGTTATGTTAAATTAATGAAAAAAAAAACAAAAAACGTTTTTCTTGCATTCCTCCACAGTGTACGAGGAATCCAAACAAAAATTCTTGATGAAATGAAGTCATAGTGGTTCGATTTTAAAAACAGTAAAACTATATCAAAACATTACTGTACAAACTCTCACACAACTCTTGCAGTATAATCCAAGTCTCATTTACATAGTAATAGCTCAGTACTTCCCAAACACATGCATTTTCACTAAAATTTAAGTATTGAAAACTGAGCTGAAACGGAATCTTATCTTTGCTCACTTCAAAGCATTTTAGTCATTGGGTCATTTTACTTCGCTAAACATTGGAGCTGCTGATCTACCACTGCATCGATCAGTTAGTTGTCTGTGTTATCATGTGTCTTTGCTGAATCCAGACTAACCTTTAAAACACCAAGGTCACACAATAACACAAACTAACCGATGGAGGCAGCGGTAGACAGCTCCTGTGTTCACAGAGATAAAATGATTGTTTTTGTCAATGGAGTCTGGCTTTGAAGGGAGCATTGATAAGATTCACTTTCAGTTCAGTTTTAAATATTAAAATTTTAGCAAAAAATGCATGTATACTGTGTACTGATTATACAACTGGCTAAATAAGACTTGGATTACACTGCATAAGTTATGTGAGGCTTTGTAAACAGATGCTTTATTGAAGTTTTGCTATTGTTAAAGATGGACTCCAATGACATCACGTCACCAGGAATTTCTCTGTTTTTGGATTCTCTGTTCACTATGGAGGCATGCAGGAAAAATACTACTTCACAAATTCAGCATGACACAGAGTGAGTAATTGATATACAAATGATTACTTTGTTTGTGAAGTATTCCTTTAAAGACCTTTATTTGCACCGGAAAAACATTGAAATAATTTAGCACCGGTGTATTTTAATAAGTCAGGGTTTATGGTAAAGTACTCCATCCATCCATTTTCATCTGCTTATGTGGGGCTGGATTGCGGGGGCAGCATGCCAAGCAAAGCACCCCAGCCGTCCCTCTCCCCAGTAACGCTTTCCAGCTCCTCCTGGGGGACCCCGAGGCATTCCTTGGGGGAACCCAGGGCATACAGCACTGTACAATTAAAACTGTTCCTGACAAAATTACAAGGTCAAACACATCTAGGCATGAAGGAATCAGAAAATGTTGCTGCAGATATAAGATAAGATAAGATAAGATAAGATAAGATAAGATAAGATAAGATAAGATGCACCTTTATTGATCCCATAATTGAGAAATTCCAGTGTTACAGCAGTCAGATTAAAGATTTCAAAATTTAAACTTAAAAACTTAAAACTTAAAAAACTTGGCATGCAAAATAAGTACAAAAATACAAGAAATGGCGATAAATAACAATAACTATAATAATAATAATAATAATAATAACAATAATAATAATAATAATAATGAGAAGTGGATAAGAATGAGCAGCAATGAATGAAAATGAGGAGTGGATAAAGGGAGCACATCTCGTGCAAGTGATTATATGTGCAAAACAGCAGACAGCTGTGGTGTCTATAAAGTGTCCATGGTGCAGTTTACAGTGAGCAGTGCTGGTTATATAGCCTTACAGCAGCAGGCAGGAAGGACCTGCGATAGCGTTCCTTCACACACTTTGGGTGAATCAGATATGCAGCTTCCTTTGCTCTTGTATTAAAATTTCAATCTAAGGTGATGTAAATTTTTAACTGTCCATCAGTAGCTTCTCTCTGACTGGTTCTTTCAGGTCTGAACATCAGTCTGATAAAATGAATAACACAGAGAGTGAGAAAAACGTCACCACCATCTTTGGCAAACCGGAGTCCTGTCAGTATCAACAGGCCCATTTGGTGATTCTCTCACTGAACGACATCATTACTTCCCTCACTGGACAGCCAGTGATTGCCAGACTGCTGTGGATCACCTTCAAGTCCAAGAAGACTTCAGATATCCTGAATTGCAATTTAGCTCTTTTCCACAACATGCAGTACCTGGTTTCCACCTTGCATTTATTTGCCCTGTTTTTGTTGCCACAAAACAGCCAAATCATCTTGAAGTTTTTGTTCGTGTATGTGCAGATCGGAGGGCCAATGTGTTTGAGTTTTATCTGCCTGGAAAGATATGTTGCTGTGATTTACCCCACGTCTTATCCTCTGCTGAAGAAATACAGATTCAGGGAGGTTGGTGCTGTGACAGTGTGGCTCTTTTCTGTGCCTACTGCTTTGGCGAATGTTTTGGCCCCAGACATTCCCTCCTTCTCACAAGTCCCCTCGGGTCTGATGTTGGTCATGACTACAATGATGGTGATGTGCAACCTCAATATTGCAAGGGCGCTTAAGAAGTCCAGCCCGGGGAAAGACCTGCTGCATCCTAGCAAGAGGAGAGCCCTAAAAACTGTCCGTGCCACTTCACGCATCACCTTGTTGTGTTACGTCCCAGTTACTTACCTGCAATGGTTCAGGTATGAGAATGAAAAGATATATGAATGTATAGTAACACCTGCGTGTATATTTGTACTGTCTGCTGCAAGTGTTGTGCATCCACTGCTTTACCTCTCCACCCAGGGGAAGCTGCTCACCTGCTTAAAGTAAGAGGCGAAAATCATCCTCTACTAACACAGAAGCCTATATATGTATATTCATATTTAACCGTTCAGAACGAGGCTTTCACTTTGGTATGCATTACAAACTGAACAATACATTGAACTATTACATTTGGGCAATGAAATATACAGCATAAACTGTGTTTAATATAATGTTCTCAGTGCCACTGAGCTCAGCACGGCAGCCCATGCAACTTAACAGGCAACCAAAACATTTTAGGCCCTGGCAATGCTTTTTTTAATGACATGCTGCACGTAGGTTGTGTTTCTGTGACAACAATATAAATATTTTAGCTAGACAGCAGCCTAGCTAAAGAAGTGGTAGTGACATCACCAGCGCCTTTCTGAAAAGTTTAAAGAGTTTTTAGTTTAAAGCACTCATAGCACAAAAAAGGTGGAACACTGAAAAAAAAAAACCTCTGAGTGCAGCGTTTTCTCTCTAAGCAGCTGCATATGCTTGCTCCTCATTGAGAACAATTGAAAAATGTAGGGCTGTACACAACTCAGAGTTGAGTTGAGTCAAATTTGGCCATTTAATACGAATATTCAACTTTTCAGGGGGGTTTTTCAATATAAAGTGTTAACAGGCACAGCAGGATGTTCAGAGTGACAGTGATGCAATATAGTAAACAAGCTAACAGCATTAATGATGGGTCAAAAATGTGCAACACCATTTTTTGCCAAGACTAGATCTCAAACAAAAGCAAGAGATTGTGTCATATTAAGTATCTGTGAGCTGTAAATTAACCACTTCCAAGCAGAAGAGAGGAGATAATGTTATCTCAGAGCCTCATGGTGCAGAGTCTCTCCTCGTCTGTGCTGCTGCATCCAAAGAGTAGCATGAAAGTCAAGAGAGCTCACTCTGTAGCAAAATCTGGAGCCCAAAACATCCCCCAGAATATTAAATACAAGTCCCAAAGTCAGAATGGAAGACACCTCCGAGCTGAGATCCTGTGGGACTTCCAGATCCAGACTGACAAATTGGTGATGGCTAACCAAGAAGAAGGCAGTGGTAAGAGATGTAGCAATCCAGAATGACAGCAACATCAGGACAAAGGAGCATGAGAAGCTGGAACAATACGAAGGGCTGAAAGAGGAGCTAGAAAGTATGTGGGGAGTAAAGGCAACAGTGGTGCCAGTGGTAATCGGAGCACTCGGGGCTGTGACCCCCAGACTGGGAGAGTGGCTCCAGCAGATTCCAGGTACAACATCTGAGGTGTCTGTACAGAAGAGTGCAGTCCTAGGAACAGCTGAGATACTGCACAGAACCCTCAAACTCCCAGGACTCTGGTAGAGAACCCAAGCTTGAGGAATACACACCTCTTGGATTGAGCCTTGATTGACATGTCTGTGGCCCCCAGCTACAGGATAGTCACAGGAAATTAATGACTGAATCACTCATTCATTTTGCAGGTTTCTGTCTCTAATGCCAAAATGGAGATTACAGGATAAATAATAGAGTATCTATGGAAATGTTGATGATATTTTCATATGAAAAATATATGTAAATTGGAGGGAGTATTTCTCTTGCCCTGTACTGCAAGTGTGACATGGGGGAAGAATAAAAAAATATGTCTTATTTGTTTTTGTGTATGAAAGAAAACTTTGTATTTTACAATCAGGAGATGGATATAATTTAATTTAAACACCAGACTTTGTCCTTAAGCATAATCTACACCATAATTATGTGGGCAGCCCTGTCTTTACACCTTTGTGTATACTTTTATTCTGGGGCTGTTTTCAATGATGTGGGCCACTGGGAGTTGTCTAAGTGGTGCAACAAAGCTATAGAGAAGAGAGGGAAATGTCAGTTAAGTGTAGTCTTGAACTGTTCTTTTGTTATTATTTTTATTCACTAACTTTAATTATGCGTTTATTTATTTATTTATCAATCTATTTGTAGAAAACAGCAGCACAGTATGATGTATTCTGAAAAAATGTATGTTCAGCATCCTCTGTTGACTGATTGTCCTGTTTGTGTGCAGCAGGTCGGCATGGAAAGACGACAGGGGCATTATGTTATTTAAAATGTTTGGATTATATGTTTATAGTGTAAGGTCACATCATACAATAAATAATATGATTAAACACACATACATTTTTTAAAAAAAAACAACAATATGATTTCATAATTGTTATATTACAAATCATTTGTTTTAACACAACTTATTCAAATATCTATTTTTCTATAAACTGTGCTGGTCAGATGCAGCTCAGTGTAACAGAAAGGACACACTGAGCCAGTGGTTCTCAAACTGTGGAGCGGGCCCCTCCGGAGGTGCACAGAGCCACTGATGGTGGAGCGGGGATGACCAGGGGGAAAGTATGTAGTGAAACAATGTTGAATTAATATGATTTATGATTTAATTTTATCTTTATTTCACTCAAATTAAACATGAATAAATTTTTATTAGTTGCTTCCCCACTTAACAACTAATTAAAAAAATTGTGAGGGGAAGGGGGCACGACAGAAAAAGTTTGAAAACCACTGTTTTAAGGAAAATAAACACTTAAAGACTTGACAAATAAGAGAGATAAGCACGCACATATCAGTGATGTTTCAGTTTTAAGCAAATTAAAACTTCAAGATTGAAAAAACAAATTGTCAGCTATATTTCTGGAGTAACTTTACTCTTACATTTACTTTTTTCCTTGCTTTTTTTTTTATTTTTTATTGACAGTCGTATATTGGTGAATTTGTGAATGTTCTCTGCCTATTTGTCAACACAGTAGACTTTTGCTCTGGGTTGATAACAGCCATTTTCAGGAGATCTAACATGTTCAACATATATTACTGTTTTGATAATAATTGACACTCTGGTTATAGAGTACCGCCCCAAATACTGTTGTCAGAGTAGATTTATACAGCGGTGGAATGTAACTGAGTACATTTACTCTAGTACTGTACTTAAGTACACTTTTGAGGTACTTTACTTGAGTATTTTTATTTTACTATTCTTCTACTTCACTGCAGCTCAGAGGTAAATATTGTACTTTATACTAAATGTGTGTGAAAGCTTTAGTTTCTTTACAGATTACAATTTTAATTCTCTTCCTGTCTAGTGAAAACCATGTATCTCCAGATGTTTTCATCATGAATGTAAGTGATAAACTGAGGGATGGAATGTTCTTTTATGTGTTGAGAAAAGCTGCCTACTTCCTAAGCCAGTGGTTCCCAACTTATCCAGCCATGGGGGGCCCAATTCTTCCTCAGTCATGAGTTCAAGGTCCACACAGTTAGATGTATTCAGCATTATACTTGTGTTTGGTCATGTCATTGAGTTAGTTTGTTGTCTCTGTCAAGTAGCTGTCTGTTCTCTCACTTTTACAGCAGGAAATTGCACTGGAAATTCACCGTACTTAAAAAGAAGTGTGGTATTTTCAAACATGACACGTTCGCAAGTCACTTGCAGGTCCATTCAGAATGGACCCACCACCTTCCAGTTAGGAACCACTGTCCTGAGCTAAATAAACTCTTTAAAACCCTCTTGGGTCAGCTGTATCATCACAAAGCTGAAAACAGGGCTGTTTTTCTGACACCATGAGAAGTTGACTTTTTAGAGATATGTGGTTCTCACAGGACACCCATGCAACAAATATATAATGATCTTATAGAATATGATGCATTAATATAGATTAAATCACCCCACAGTAGTTAAAATGAGCACAGGCTTCAAAATCTACAGCAATATAATCCAACATAATGCAGCAGTAGGGGAGACCGGGGTTGGTTGGCACACAGCTATTTTCTGGTCTTTTGACGGTCACAGAAACAAAAATGTAACATCACAATGTTTGCTCATCTATTGTGTTGAACCTTCTGGAAGTCAGTTACTTCTAGATGAGACAAAGGAGTCAGCTACATTTTAATATAAGATTTGAAAGTCTAATGAGTGATGGCAGTGGGTGAGATGTTAGCAGAGGTTGGTTGGCACATTGTCCATCCAATTTTCCAATTAGCTGTAACTGTATTTTTTTGACATTAAAACTATATTGAAAGATCAAAAACAATGTTTGTATTGATAGTTAATTATTATTACTTTGGATGGTCCATGGGAAGAGTAATTAGACATCCCTACTGATGAACTTCCTAGGAATGTTGTTTGCTTTTACAGAATGGACAGATATTCTGTTAAATGTTCATGTTTTCTAGCTGTTTGCTTCTTTTTCATAACTATAGCAATTTAACATTGTGCCAAGCAGCCTGTGATGGGACTGGTTTGGCACAAATGCACAAGACTTTAATCATGCATCGCTAGGTTTTAGAAAACATTTGTGTCAACTGAAACACACTTATAGTTATAGGTGAGACCTTAAGCTGTCATTTGCTGCTGGTTATAATATTCTCACATAAATTATGCCAGAAAAGTATGGCAGAGTGAAAAGCATGTCAACCAACCCTGGTCTCCCCTATTAATTCAAAAACATGACATATATTAGTATAATACTGACAGGGAACAATTAACTCCACAGTGAGTACTTTTGCCTTTTATACTTTAAGTAGGTAAATTTAGTTGATAATACTTAAGTAAGGTTTGAATGCAGGACTTTGACTTGTAGTGGAGTATTTCCACAACATCTGCAAAGATCCCATCCTGTCTGAAGCAGCTACATTATGACTTTATGCAGCTCTGTAGGCTATTTGTGGTTTGCTTTTCTTGTAACAAGCAAAATCTCTCAGATGACAGGTTGAGATTCAGATGATGCTAAGTAAATAAATCCTGATAAGAACAAACCAATGCTTGCTCCACAATCGTGGATCATGGTTCAACCAAAGATGTGAAACATCTTGAGCTGTCGCTTTATCTGCCTCCAGTCTCTTCTTCATGACCTCTTCATTTAGGGACATTTTGTGTTGCACGGATCCCCCGATGAAAAGTAGCTGTAGACACTGACCAGTGGAAACATGGTGACAGCTCCCAGAAGAGAGCCCAGCTGCACCACAGCTCCACACCACACGAGGGCGCTGTGACCCTCATCCCGCAGGATCACCCCAATAATCACCTTCACATAGGACAGAGTGAGAACAAACAGGATCCAGGCCAACACCTGTGGAGGGAGAGGAAGGTGAGTTTGAATATGTCCATTGTGGTCTCCTGCATGTAGTGTTGTGTAACATCCACACAGTGATACACAAGTGAGGAAGATAACGGAGGTAAAGTGTGTAAATGAAGACTGGCAGTGTACTCACAATGATGACACTACCTGAAGCTTCATTAACCAGCAGTGGGCAGGGACTCAGCACTGCCATGCTCATTATAAAAGCTCCAACTGCACTTCCTATCACTGTGAGTGCTCCCATCAGCAGCAGAGATCTGTGAACAAAAAGACACTTTTAAAATATCAGCCAAATCAGGGTTTGTTCTGGGAACCAGGATTTATTAACGTTTGCGTTCAGGGATAAAAACAAAGAATACATCACAAACAAATCGCAGGGTTAAAATATACTGTCAAATATGTCACAGTATGACGAAGTATCAGGGGTGGATTATGAGACAGTGGGCCCCTGGGCACAGACGTGCAAAAGGCCCCACCACCTCTGGATGTTGTTGTTTTGCATCTTTTTGTAGTTGTCAGCATTTGTTTTGTGGTTTTGTGTCTTAGGGGTATATTTGCATCTTTTTTTGTCATTTTCTTTCTCTTTGTAGTTCCTTTGTGTGCCTTTGTTGTCGTTTTGTGTTTCTTTAATGTCATGTTGTGTCTCTTTAAAGAATATTTGTGTCTTTTTGGTTATTTTGTGCCCCTTTGTAGTTATTTTGTTTGTCTTTGTAGCATGTCTTTGTTGTCATCTGTGTCTCTTTGAAGGTCAGTTTATGTCTCTTAGGAGTATATCTATGTCTTTTCTTTGGTTGTTGTCTTTCTCTTTGAAGTTCCTTTGCGTCTCTCTGTAGTCATTTTGTGTCTCTTTGAAGTCATGTTCTGTCTCTTTGTAGAATATTTGTGTCTTGGTTATTTTGTGTCTCTATGTTTGTTTTTATTTGTAGTCTCTCTGCATGTCTTTGTGGTTTTATGTCTCTTTAAAGGTCCTTTTTTTGTCTTTTCAGGTATTTGTGTCTTTTTTGGCCGTTTTCTTTCTAATTGTAGTGTCTTTGTTCCTCCGTGTTGTCGTTTTGTGTCTCTTTTCCTGTTCAATACATTTTAATATGAGTGACATTTTACCAGGGGCCCCCTGACACTCTTGGTTATGACTCTAAAGTGCTGATCATGTTTGCATTGTCTGACAAATGTCCAGTTTCTGTAAAGATGTCTAAATGGAGCTAGTGGCCATGATCATTTTGAGTTATTTCTTAAGCAACATTGGCAAACATTTGCAACCTCCAGCTTTTCAATTACAAGGATTTCCTGTGTTTTCTCACCATAAAAATGTAAACTGAATGTCTTTTAGATTTGCACAAACGTGTGATTTGAATAAGTCACCTCAGGCTCTCGGAAACAGGACAAAAGAGTCAATAAGGCAGGTTACTTGATATAAAAAAAAAAATAATAGGCGTTCTGACAATTTTCACTTAATCGTGATGAACACATTATCATTTTCACATTATCAACAATTAAATTATTTTAGGTTTATGTAGATAAAGACTGATATCATTTATTCTACATGATATATTCACTTACAGGTATTTTTTTTCTTTTTTCTTCTAGCTACGATAGATACAATACAGACCAACTTTTTCAAATGTTAGTATCTTAAAGTATTTTTAATAGGATCAATAATTATGGAGCTTTATCCCTATCTTTATTCAAGAGAGTGGTCTATCAGTTTGAGAGCATTATTTATTGATTTCATGTTCAAAAACCCTGCCCTCGCACTCAAATAGCCTCTGCCTGCGCTTGGATCTACTCTGTTTCTGCTCAAAATGTGTGCTCGCACTCAGATACAATGTTG